CCAACTATTCCGTTGACCTGACATGAATAAGTAGAACTTAACACTATGATTAATCCGTTCCCTTATTGAAAATAGGTAGGACTTAACTCGTAAGTTAATCCGTCCCTAATATGCCCCCATCCCATAATGGTGCCACCATGGTATCAATCATATACGTCGTAAATAAATATTTAATGAATCTATTTACATTAAATCATGAAATCCACTTCTTAATGAATCTATTTATAAATATTCGATATTGATCCATCAACTAAAAATCACAATATTAGTTTGATATCTCAGCATTTAATCAGACTAACATTTAAAAATATTTTATGCCAAAAACATCTAAACAAAACAAAATGAAAAGAAGACATACATAGAATAATTTTAAAAAAAATAATTTACTTAATTACTCAATCCAATCCCATAAAAACATTTATTTTCTTTTTCCCTTTCCTCGTTCAGTGTGCATGCTTTATGAGAAACCTAAATTACCAATGTCATTATATATCAACCTAATTCTTCATTACAGAAATTCTCACTGACCTTGTTCGGCGTGCCGATTAAAAACAAAAAAACCAAATATTCCATCACAGCACAATTTGATTCATATATGCTAGAAGTTTATGTTTTATATTTATATTCCGTAAAGCAATTATCAATTTATTATTGACCTCCTCGTTCGGCGTGCCTACATATAAAAAGTAAATCTCTAATTTTCCTCACAGGACAAACGGATTCACGCTAAGAAAATTTTATGTAAAAAAAAATAAATAAATAAAGAATTAGTCACCAACAATGCGTCCAGTACAGCGCCACCAACGGTGCCCAATTTATGTTAAAGATCCTATCAACCAATCTATGTTCTAGAATTGTCCCAATTATAATTACACAATATATAAACACGCCTTGAACATCATAATTACAATCTGTGCATCAATTTATTACAATATAAAAATTCATCACAGATCCATTATAAAAACACATGAACTGAAAATTTTAAATTAATTCATGTAATTAGATCCAATTAATTTATTTACAAAACCTAGAATTAATCTAGCATGCATAGAGTATGAATCAAAGGAGAAGAGAAGAGTTTAGAACTTGCCTTTAGGGATTTGATAAAAACCCTAGCCTCCTTCTTCCTTTTTCTCTTCCTTCCTCTTCCTTCTTTCTCTCTCTAAAATATAGTACGTGATATATTTTCTAACCTCTTTTACAACCCTATAGGTATATATTTATAGGCAACTAAAATAACCCTAATTCTTTTCCCAATCCAAAACAAACTAAAATAAAATAAAAATAAAATAAAATAAAATTTAAATACTAAAAAAAAAATAACCTAAATATATGTTACGTATAATCTATGTGTGATCCTTTTTATATGTAATATATAAATATATATTAGATTATTTCTAAAAGACTTTCCTTATATGTATATATATTTATTTATTTATTAAATATACATATACATGGGTAATTATCCGTACCCATTAAATCCCTTATCTAAGTAGTCCATGGAGCCCAATTGGTTGGTCCATTACTACTATTGATATCCAATTCCTTAAAAATATAAAATAAAAAAATAAAAAATAAAAAATAAAAAAAATAAAACAATTAAATCAATTAACACATTTAACAAATAATTAAATCAATTAAACAAGTAAACAATTAGCCAAGAAATCAACTAAATAATTAAATGCAATTAAAATAAATTTTTTAAAAAAATAACGTTGAAAAAAATACCGAGACTATCCTTTTAAAATCAGGGGTATTACACACTCGGTCTGCATAATGTTCTTCTCTATTTGAAGAGCGTTTCTCTCATCCTGAAGGGAGTCTATTTCTTTCTTTAGAATGTCCCTTTCCTTCTTAACATTATGCAGCTACACCATTAGTTAAGCGTTTTTGGTGCTCATGATCTTATTTTCTTTGTTGGCCGATTCGAGTGCACCAGCAAGTTTACGCACCCGAGCATTGGATGACTCGACATGTTTTTGCATCGTCATCATTCTGAACAGAGTCTACAAACAGATGCACGAATACTAATTAAACCGAACGTATATCCAAAGAAGTCGGAGTATAAAGGCTTTCTTGATCTTACCAAATGAGGGATGAAAATTACCTCCATAGCGGCCAAGGGAAAGCTGCTGAATGTTTCCTTCTGGGTCAACGCTTTAGCCACCTCAATGTCTTTGGGGGACCACAGATGCATGCAGTAGGCCAGGGCAGTCTGGCCCTCTTTGAACCTAGTGTCGTTAGAATTGACAACCAATCCATCGACTCGGATGAATCTTGAAGTCCACGAAATTACTTCAGAAAGAGAAGCGAAAGCTTCACCAGTTCCAGGGGCAGTAGTTGACCTGTTTTGGGAAGTTGTGGGTGCACCCACCCCAGAGGCTAGAACCCTTCTTGACAGATGAATGTCATCAGGGTCGGGTTCACTGTCAGGCTGGGGTCTTTTCCCCCCGCTCTTTATCCGGAGTAGACATAGGGGCGCTGGAGGGGTTACTTGCCCTTGGAGTATTGTTCGGATTAATAGGTGGAGCATTGACGTTAGGGTTGATGGCAGGTACAACGTTTGGAATGGTATTAGAAGTGGTGGCAGAAGTAGATGCCGAAGCTGGAGAGGAAGTTGGGGCAAGAACAGTGACGTTCCTAGGAGGATTTCTTCTTCTGCTGAAAGAAGGGATCTGGATCTAATCCATGAGAGCACCCAAGAGAGATATGTCGCTAAGATTCTCGGACACAAGGAGTTCCGAACAGGAAGGAACGTTGTTCAGAACGTATTCCTTCAGGTGGTTGATCCTATCCCTGCAAATGATGTAACTCAATTCATTATGAGGAATACCCAGAGAATCGCAAAGAAAGTACGAGGAATGCAAACTTCACAAAGGCAGTTACTCTTATGGGTTTTATATCTTTTGTATGAAGAGACGGAGCATTCACCAAAGGCACTTGGATTGGATAGTCCCTAGCAGCCGGAGCAAACCAAGCTCCTTTAACCCCAACTATATATGTTTTTCTTCCACCCTTTCTCGGATCAAGTTTGTCCGTACAGATGGATCATTTTTCAATGGGATAAAAATGGTAATACATGTCATCTAACCTGATCTTACTGGCCTGTAGGAAAAAAGAAGATCTATAATATCGAGATCTAAACCCTTGTCACGGTTCAGAAGCAAGAGAATGGACAAAACCCTAAGAAAATTGGGGTTTACTTGAAGAGGGGAAAGCTTTTTTTTGTTAAAGACATAACAGAAAAAAGGGTGCAAATTAAAGGAAATCTGATAACATTCAGGTAAAGGAGGGAGAACAAGATCTCACCAGGAAGAAGACCTACACTAGTTTTAGTGTTCACATTATTAGGGCATTCCCTAATAAGAAAATTGCTAGGAAGATGAAGTTTCATGTGAAGAATGTCTAAGTCAAAAGTCATGGTGAAAACGAACGGGATCCTCAAAGAAATGTGTAAATCTTTTAGAAGGTAAAGAAAAGCAAGACTGACCTCAACGGGATTGAAGATTGCAAAAGATGCTGCGAGATAGCTGAGAAGGGAGGACCTTTTATAATAATTCGCCGAGGAGGATTGGACTTGTCTAAAAGAAACGAGCAATGAATTGATTGATAAGAGGTGTGACAGAGACAATAAAGAAAGTTGTGAGTATGGAATGGGGGATTTATAAAGAGAGGGTGGACCCAGTAACCGAGACGTCAGGAAAGTAAAGAGATTTCAAATTTTAAAATATCGACTTCTGAACCGACCACTCACCTCCCCACGTTATCATCTCAAGCCGTCAAGTCATGATTAGAGTCACCCTAATAAATTAGGGAGAGATTATGGGGGTAGGTGAAAATGTTGAAAACAGCCCGAGTCGAGTGCGATCCAGATCACCAGAAGCGAGTCGGGAAAATGGTAGTGGTCCGAACTAGGTCTTAACAAGTTAGGCCCAAGAATGGAGGATTATGATGGAGGCCCGTTCAAAAGAATCGGGCCCATGACCAAGAGGAGCCTAGTAGTAAGCCCAGCACAAGGAGTTAGTTACGAAGTTTCTAGAAGATTTGTAACAATCTATAAATAGGCTAAAAATAGAGGGAAAAGGGGGTTGAAAAATTCTTAAAGTGTAAAGTTACTCTGTCAAAATAGAGAGAAATTTCTTGCATCTTCTATATGTATATATAAAGAGAGATGGATCATACTTATTATTTATGGAAAATTATTATAAAGCTCTCATTATTGTTCAAATAATACTATACCATGCTACTCCGTATTATTTAAAATTATTTAAAAATAATTTTAATATTTATTTAAAATAAATATTAAAATTCAATAAAGTTAAGAAATATGAATTTTAATATTTATTTTAAATTATTATTCATATCTTAAAGTTAAGAATTATTTAAATAAAAAATCGTAATCTCTTTCAAAATTTAATCGCTTTTAAAATAAATATTAATCTTTTAAAATAAATAGTTGTTGCTTGAAATATGAATTTTAATATTTATTTTAAACTATAATTCAGATCTTAAAGTTAAGAATTATTTAAATAAAAAATCGTAACTCTTTAAATTTTAATCTCTTTTAAAATTTTGTTTCGTACTAATAAATGTACAAAAAGACAAGTTACTATAAAATAAGATTAAACAAGTTACTATAATTTTTTTTTTTTTTATCATTTTTATAAAATAAGATTAAAAATTCTTTTACTAATAATAAAAAGTAACTTCGTATTTATTATTTAGCACTGTATATGAATTAGTGCCGAAAATTAATACTACTGGAATATATAATATGATATTAGTGGTAGATGTGCAATCGATTAAAATTATACAAACAATGGTAAAGTGAATTTATATACTAGTAATTACTTACGATTGGCGGTTAAAAATATTGGAAAAGGGCCTCTCTCTCTTTCTCTCTCTCTCTCTCTCTCTCTCTCTCTTCTTCGCTCCCATTTCCCGCTTTTGTTCTCTCTCCGACCTCCTCCGCTCAGTTTCTTCAACCTTCCGCATCGAACATGACGATGATGAGCAAATGGGTCTTTCTGGCACTTATAGTCTCCGTCGTCATCTCTATGAGAAACCCCAAAGGTGAAACAAAACCCTCTGCTTCACCATCTTCCTCAATGGATTCTTGGATTTCTATAGATTTTCTTTCTGGTATCGAAGGAGGTGCCCTCAATCTCGAGTACGAATTCTACCGAGAATCATCAAGTCTACCATGATTCGGATAGCCTTCGAGCACAGGAACGCCCCAGCGCAACTACTACGCCTCTTGTTCCACGATTGCTTCATTGAGGTTTGATGTTAATTTCATGTTTATCTTCTTATTTTTTAGCTTTATTTCAATTGGGTTTTACCATTTTTTATCTGGGCTTTGAGGTGGCTTTTTGCCCTTTCTTAAATTGTTCTTTTGTTTATATATTTTATTTCTTATCTCTAACATTATTCATCTGGGAATTGAGTTTTTTCTTCTTGGTTTGTATATATTATTTCTTTGAAATGTGTTCCCGCACCATTAATTATTTGTACATTTAGTTGTTATTGTTCTTAGGTTTTGATGAATTCCTTTACATTGAGTATTGAGTTGTTCTTGATTGTGTATATTATTGTGAGTTTTGTTCTTTATTGTCATCTGGTATTGATTTAATTGTTCTTAATTTTGTGGTCTTTATTTACGTTCTCAGTTGTGATACTTCAGTTCTATTAGAAGACATCAATGGGAATAAAAATCACTTGATAGAAAAGAATGCAATTCCGAACATGACGTTCAAGGGATTTAATTGTGTAAATATCATCAAAGAGGAGCTGGAAAAAGTTTGCCCCGGGGTGGTTTCTTGTGCTGACATTCTTGTTCTTGCTACTAGAGATGGTGTTCTTATGGTTACCCTTAATCTTTTCTTTTTTCTTCTTTATTTCCTTTTTATGACCATCTTATTCATTTATGGGATTCTTTAGAGTATATAACCACTTTTGAAATGATGTAAAATTGTATCATTGACATGATGAATCACATTTTTTTTATGCTAAAATATTTTAGGGTTAAATGCAAAAAACCCCTCTGAACTATTGGGGTTTTGCAAGAAACTCCCTGAACTACAAAAAACTCCCCTAAACTATTGTTTTGTTGCAATTCAACCCATCAGGTTACCGGAAAAGGCAAAAGACAATTCCGCCCTTACTATGACCTAGGATAGTGCTACACTAGTAGCCAAACAAAGTACTGGGATATATTATACATATATATGGTATATCATATATGCCTCTGCAAACCCAGAAGGGGAAAGTACTGCAGCCACGGGGACGACGAAGAGGATCGGCCGGAGGAACGGCGGTGAGCTCGGCTGGTTCATCTCTTCATTCGCGAATTGGTGGGTCGCTTCAGCTCTCCGATGCAAGTCATCTAAAACTTGGGGTAGCCGGAGTTAATCGCTGAAGGTTCTGGGTCTGTCTCAAACGCAATCTTGCGGTTCCCTGTTGAAGCTTTTCCGATAAAGGTCGTTGAAGCTTTTCTGATAAAGGTCGCTGAAGCTTTTCTGATTGATTGAATGTTGATGCTCTTCAGGTTTGGTCGCCGTCTATATGGAGGTATCAGTTGGGTCTTCAATGGAACTCTAGTTCAGTTCATACAACTTCGATTCGGAGCTCGCCGGCTTCAATGGACGCTGCTGCTGCTCGGAGCTCGCTGGAATGGATAGGTCGTTGTAACTCTGCACATGTCTTCATCTTCGGTTGGGCCGGTGATACTCAGAGCTTCCCACCGATGGCCATAGAGTTTGAAGCCGGGTATGGAAAAATCAATATCTGGCAGTGGTTTGTTTATTGGAGGCTTGGAGCTGTTGCAATCTGATATGGGTATGATTGTGGGTGTAGGAACAAAACAAACCCAGTACAAATTATTAAAAAAAATAAGAAAATAAATAAATTTAAACAAACCTCTGCAACTTTGTTGTTTTAAACAAACCCAGTACATATTGTTAGAAAGATTTCAAAAAATTTAACTTTTTAAGTATTTGATTGGACTGGTATAGACCATTTAATTGATCAGCAGATTCATCACAATAGAAAAAAAATTTGTAAGCTTTAATGGAGAAGTTGAATTGGTTTTAATACACCATTAGAATTTATATATATATAATATCAATGAACTGTAACCCAACAGCTAATTGGAACTTTGATCCTTTAGATGATATGGAGGTCAATTTGACTCAAATCATGTAGTGTAAAAACACAATGTTGATGAGTCCTTGTAAACCCAGTTCTCAAATTGAGGGCTCTCTTGTTTCCTCCTTAAATTCGTAGTGCAGGCATCACAGGGAAAGAAACTTACTACCATCTTGCAGTTGGGTTTGATGAAGAAGATAAACAGTGTTTGTAATTCTCTCTCTCTACATGTAATATATATAAAGTGATGAGGGTGTGTTTGGGTAATTGTGTGTAACAGTACACTAAGAGTGTGTTTGGGTGTAATGTTCATAATAAGGGTAATATAGTCTTTTATGCTCATAAGGGCATTATGGCCATTAGGTATATATTGTGTGATCACGTGACTGCATGTGATGGTTTTAACGGCGAAATTCAACCGGCCGGTCGCCGGATGGAGTTATCTGCAACAAAAATTATAGTTCAGGGGGTTTTTTGAAAATTTTGAAGTTCAGGGGGTTTATTGCTGATTGGCTAATAATTCAGGGGGGTTTTTTGCATTTAACCCTATATTTTATCAACACCATACCATGAACACCTATGGAATATTGGAGTGTTGCAAATATTATTGATAAGCCCTTACACTGCAACTTTGGTTCAGATATCTTGCATGACTGAGCAAGTGCCCTTTGAATGGAAAATCCATCAACAAGTTCATCAGTACAAATTCTACCTAATTAATTGCATATATATATATATATATATTTGACATATTAACTTGTATTATGTATGATGATCTAGCTAGTATTCTAGTTTATATATACTTTGGCTGAGGCTTTGAGCCGAACTTTGTCTTGTACAAGTGAGTCAAGTTCAGCAGCTTCATATCCTGGTTTCACATATATCACCTGCAAAACAAACAATGTTAGTTCTTCTCTCTCTGCCCGTGTTTGTGTGTGTGAGAGAGAGATAGAGAGTTTAGGGACTTAATGATGTATCATCGCCACCGATTTCAGGTAGTTTAGTTGAGCTGTTGTGTCTGCTTAATGGAAGAACCCAAACGTTAAGTCATAGTGGCTTTTGTTTTTGAAGGCTTAGAAATTCCTATTTCTGCTTCATTTGTTCTTTAATGAAGTGTTTTGGTTCCTTTAGAACCATTTCCCATTTTGTAATGGCTAGTATTATTCTAATTGTTCTTTGTAATGTCCATCTAGCTTATCCTAGCCAATATTTTATCTTGATCAATTTTCAGAATATTTTAGTAAAGCTGTTTTACTTGATAAATTCTCTGATTTCGATCTTCCCATTTTCTACTGACTTATCACTGTTATTCGGTGGTTGTTTTTAATTCCTGCTAACTTCCTCTGCTTTCCAGATCATTGATGTGTTTGTTTTCTTGGAAATTGCAGGCGCGCAGGTGGTCTATACTATCCTGTGCTGATGGGCAGAAGAGACAGTGACCGATCATACTTTCAAAGAGCTATGACTGAAATCTCAAAGCCAGACAGCAATATCAATAAAACGCTTTATTTGTTTGGGCTTAGAGGATTCGGTGAAAGGGAAACTGTTGCACTTCTAGGTATCCACTAAAATTTATTGTTTTCACATTCTCAAAATTGTACTCTCTCGAGTAAAATGATTTGAATTTGTTCTTTTGTTTGCTGAAGGATCTCATAATATAGGCAAAATTGGCTGTGACCAAGACTAAACAACTTCTTGGGGACTGGACAGCCAGATCCCCATTGCTGCTGATTTTATTGATGATATGATAACGAACTTTGGAGCTTCACCCATTGGATCAAGGGCTATGAATGAGTGTACTGTGGGGATGGGTTCCTACCTGGAATTGTTATCTGTTATCTCTTCTGGACCAGGCTTTGACTCTCATTACTATCAGAGTTTGCTGAGAGGGAGAGGGCTCCTCCTATTTGCAGACCAGCAGCTTATGGCAAACGAGAAGACAGCCGAAGCTGTAAGAGACTACGCTGCGGATGCAGCATTTTTCAGAATGGATTTTGCCAGGGCTATGGTGAAGTTGTCAAGCCTTGGAGTGCTTACTGGATCTCAAGGACAGGTCCGTCTCAACTGCTTCTTGCCTGTAGTTTCTAGTAAGCAGAACTTGCAAAGTAAACACTAATTTCTTCTCTTCTTATCAGTTTGAATATATATACTCCTTTCTATTGATTGCCATTTAGTACCCGCTTGTGGCTATCCTCATCTACTCATATTGGTCGCCATTTAGTACCCGCTTGTGGATTCTTGATGGATGTTTGGTCAAAGAATATGAGTGTGATTTGAAATGTTGGAATTTGGGGGTTTTATAGTTTTTACCCAAGACTAAGAAGATGAAAAGGTTTTGATGATAAAATTCTTAGTTGGACCAAACAGAAACCATAAAATTGTCCCTAAAGAAATTCAGTGCGACTCCCTGGACTAGTGGAGTATATAAATGTAGCAGGTGGGCTTTCTCATTTACTCAAAAGCTCAAGTTGTTGGGTCGTGTTGCATATTCACTCATTTACACACACTACAACCCCATCCAAATTCGATGTGGAACAAATTTCACTTGTAACATTCTCTAACATTTTTTAGAACTTTCCTTATTTATAATAAAAGGAACTTGACATTAAAAAAAAAAAAAAAAAAAAAAAAAAAAAAAAAATCATTTAAAAAAGAAATTGATAATTAAATGAAATATTGTTGATAGCCGGAACATTCACTACCATTGAGTCGTCTATTTATAGAATTCCTATTTAACCAATATATTTTACTATCCTATTTAGTTTTCTTGCAACAAATTGGCTGAGAATTAATACCTCGGTAGCATATAATACAACTAACTTTTTCAAGAGCGAATATGTGGGTCTTACAAAGTTTTGGATGAAGGAACCGTTAGAGAGCTGAATTGCACTGTATATGATAGTTTAAATCATGAGCTGATAGAGAAAAAGAGACCAGTACTTCCTTGGTCACCAAAAGATAAAAATAAAAAATAAAAATTGAATTCGATTCTGTCATATTTTATGACCATAAAGTGATATAACCAACAGCAAACAATATTTCCTTATAATTCTCACAAACATTATTTTTATACGAGAAAAAAATAGGTTTGTATAAGCACATAAAAATGAAAAACAACTAAACATTTTAGATTTAACCAAAAGATAATAAAAAAAATTAACTTTATAGTCAGTTTCCTAACATGGTTGGCACAATCCAAATTGAGGGTGGCATATCCTTATGTGAAGGATCAAAAGTGTAATGCGTCCCAAAACATTCATTCTCGATGTTGAAGATACCAATGTCACAACGACCAAATGGAGGATGAAAGTTAAGGTCTATATAGTCATCAGTGTAGTATATGGAATTTGGCTGGCAACCCGGCCATTTGGAAGCTGAAACAGAAATTGAATGATTATCTCCCAAAAATAGGGTGTCTCCGTCCAAACTCTTCATTTCAACCCGCTTAGGCCAACCCTGTTCAAGTTGTTCTAAGAGCAACTTGAAAACCTTAAACCCTAAAGTTTCATGCTGACAACTATTTTTATCATCATATTTTATAATCCTTTGCACAAGAAGTAAATCCCCGTTAGATGATTCGACAAGATACGTTCGCTCATTGCGCACATTAGTCTTTGGTGCAATTACCTTCACTTGAGCAGCCATACTCTCCCCATCCCTTCTATTAAGATCAACCATTATGATTCTACTCCAATAATCAACTGCAAAAATATTGCCTTTATAATATATAACATCAAAGATGAGGTTAAATCTCTCTTTATCAATGTAAGTCCAAGCGTCATCTCCTGGATGAATGAATGCCAGTCTTTTATAACCACTATAGATCGCACTAACAATATAGTCATTAGGAGATGAAACAGGGTCAGCAGACAATGTAGCCTTCATAACTTCAAATTCAACTTCAACCTCATCAAGAGTTGTGTCATAATAATCGATTTCGTGTTCACTTTCAACATCATCTTCAACCTCACCAAGAGTTGTGTCATAATAATCGATTTCGGGGTCAAACTCAACATGATCTTCAGCACGGTCAAATTCAGCACGGTCCATAATCGGAGGAAGCTGAATGGTATCACTAGAGAACGGATTGATTAGGGTTATGGCGAATGATTCTTCAACAGTAAACAACCAACCATGTGAAGAACCACAAAACCTCTTTTTGTACGGTATCCGTAATTCGAAATCATATAATTTATTATGACTAATGTTGTAAAGACTACGTCTTTCATTGCTATCTTCAGTAGAGACCATCAAAAATGGAACTTGTCTGCACCATTTATTTTCAAAGAATTTAACCTTGTTCTCCATTGCCATAGATAGCCATGGTTTGCAAACTGCACCAAAGCGAACACAATCGGAAATCGAAACCAATTTGTGCATAATCAAATCCAATAAGTGTTTTGGAAGATAAGCCCAATCTGATCCCTCCAATGAGTACATGTTTATTTCCAGAATCACTGAAAGGTAAACAAATCAAGAACTAAACCATCAGAATAGGTTGGCTAATGTCTACAATAATAAATTATATGCATATAATACGTAACACATACAGCAACTTAAATCTATTGCTATTTGTTTATATAACTAAAAATATATTAATATATCCGAATAAATTAGCATATGAATACATGATAGAATAATTGTAAATTCAGCTAATATAAAATCAAAACAACTCACCTGAACTCTGCAGTTAGCGATCAAAATCAAAGAACAACGAGTAAAGAGAATGTACATGCAGATATAATGCTACTGACCTATATATATATATATATATATATTTATATATATATATATAGATAGTGATAATTCTTTTCCTAATCAGAAAGCAATTTACATTAAAGTTCGTATAATCCTTATAGAAGGAGAATGAGTGGAGGAGTTTCTAAAACGTAGACGTTTTATACAGATTGACAAACTATAAAAACTAAATAAATAAATAAAAGTACACTGCAGTGGTCCAATAAAAGAGTGATAGTTTCTTGAATTAAAAAATAAGAGTAATTTGCACTAACACCTCAAAATTGTCCAAGCGGAAACCATAAAATTGTCCCTTGTGACTCTGGACTACTGGAGTATAGACTATAGTATAGTATAGTATATCCCTTTATTTGAACACTCAAATGTCTTGCCCTAATAAAGAGAAAAAGGAAAGAATATATATAGTTATATATATATATATATATATATATATAGATATATATATATATATATAATCCTACGACCTTAATCAAGAGAAGAATGAAGTGTGTGCGTGTGTTAGAATATTTCACAAAAGTACGTCGGAAAATGGGCCAGACCCAAACCCAAAACATAACTAGTTACAGAATCCAATAGTAAAGCCACAAAGAACAAGATGATATACAGTAAAAAGGAAAATAATAATAATTTGAAAACGTACAGAGATTTAATTTTTACATCCAAGAACCCTATCTTCTTTGGCTTGATCCCTACGGCTTATTTTAAACATATACCTAAAAAAAAAAAAAAAAAAAAAAAAAAAGGAAAAAAGAAAGAAAAAGAGAACCAACAAAAAAAAAAAAATCATTATCAAATTTTGTAGGATTTTTATTTTTATTTTTTAATGAAAAAAAAAAAACTAAAAACTAAAAACTTGCCAAAGAATTCAAAATCAAATAAAAAACACAACAAAACTATCTCGGATTAAATTACTGGATACGATCTATTGAAAAATCATCATCAAAATTTGTGGTTACAACCAACTAAAAAAGGCGGTGAAAAATCATGAACAAAACTTATCTGTCGTTAAAATCAAATAAAAACCAATCGAAACAAGGAAAAACAAAACCTTCTGGATCAAATTAGTGAATAAGTTGGATTGAAAAATCATGATGAAATTAAACGCAGAAACGTGGATTAAAGCTGTAAATGACCATGCATCTAATGACAATAATATATTTTAATGAGAATATATATATCATCTCTACCATAATGATTACTAAACACTATAGACAATAGAAGTAAGTGTGTGTATATATATATATATATGAAACAGAATGTGTAAAATAACCAGAAAAAGAAAACATACCATACTTGCAGGCGAAGGCCGAAGCACGAACTTAACTTACAAATTAACTTCTTCTTTTTTCGAACTGTAACTTACAAATTAACTTGATGATGGTGAATTATTAAATTGGCTATTAATCAGCAGAAAGTGAAAAAGTGAAGAACCAGTTATGGCAACAATTTTATTGATATGAACAAATTAAAGAGTCTTCATCAATAAAATTGTTTCCATAATGGTTTTTCAATGTGATACTTTCTTTAATCTCCATCGCTACCTAATCGATTTAATTGCTTCCTTCTTAATTTGCATGTATATTATATATTTGCCATATTATATATATATATATATATATATATATATATATATATATATATATAAGAGTTAGGGTGTAATTATATATAGCGTAGGGTTTACGTTTCTCATAATTAAGCTACCAGTTATACAACATATACATATATATCTAATAATGTACCCTAGTATTATTCTCGTAATAGTAGTATCTTCAAGTCTAAACCCTGGCATATTATATACTACGTATCTAGGGTTTAGCATAATTGTGCAGCGGCCTCCGTCTCCAGATCTTTTTATTTAAAGAATAATAATACTCTACCCATAGTAATGCTAGAGATCCCTCTCATTAAATGTAAGGATGTCAAAATTTAACATGACTCGAAACTTGTTCGGATGTGACAAGTAATGGAATATGTATGGTTATTATGTATAGGAGAGGAATGGGATAAATATGGTTATGTATGCCAATGGTACAGTGGGCTACGGAAGAGGAAATCACGCCACAGAACAAAGCATGAAAAAAAAAAAAAAAAAAAAAAAAGAGTTAACATGTGAAAAAATATAAAAATATAAAAAAGACGTACCAATTATTTGCCCGGACAAAAGCTCCAACCTAATAAGTTTTCAACAATACTACAATTGATGACAAATCTTATGACACGAGTAGTATATATAGGCAATAAAATATCTCCCATTTGTAATAGGAGTTTATTTGTATAATTCGTGGAGAAGTACAATCCAACTATCTCCCATTTGTAATAGGAGTTTATTTGTATAATTCGTGGAGAAGTACAATCCAACGTTGGATGCGAAAAAGGAAATTTACAATTCAAAGACTAAATTGAATATTTTAAGTCCCAAAATAGGAGACAAGTCCGGTCAAATGCGGGATTCGAAGTGGGGCAATTGGTAGACACTAAAATTTCAATGAACTTTTATTTTGACAAATTGATCCATCAAATATGGGTCTCATGTTTAATTAAATTATTTTTTTTATAAGTAGATGTTTAATTAAATTATTTAATTTCCTAAACTTGGTCAACTTAAATTATTTAATCACCAAGGTGATTAAATAAAAAGATAATTATTATAATTAAAAAAAAATATTTTTGAAATAATATTTTTATAGATAATTATCATAATATAACATACTCGGTCCGGGTCAGTTATAATTATGTCCTTATCCAGAGAGATGCCATCATCTTATATATTAATTTAAAAAGCCTATAAATAGAGGTATAGAGGATGGAGAAAAATTGAGAATTCTTTAAATAATAGCGTATCCGGAATATTACAGCAGCGTATCCGGAATATTACAGCAGCGTATACAAATTTTTGGCACTACCTGGGTGGGCATCAGCAAGACTTACCGAAAACAAAAGCAAGACTGATTGAAAACCAATCTTGTATCATATCTCCCTCTCAACGTTAACAGTGAAGGTTTGAGTCAAAATAAGTAGGTATATGCTTACCAATGATTTTTATTTAATAATATAATAATAAAAAATATTAATAATACTAGTAAAATAATATTAAATCTAATTAGAAAAAATATATATATAATATTTAAAAAGAAAATGATATTTAGGCAGATGGATTTGCCAGATTTATTAAACAGAATCCTATGTGGGGACTAAAAAAACGCGTCCTCTCTCTCTCTCTCTCTCTCTCTCTCTCTCTCTCTCTGTCCTCTCACCTATTTATATATACTTAAATACGTGTAGGAAACTTTGGAAACTAATAAAACATAAATTCTATCTCCTAAAATTGGAAAGAAACCTAAATAGTAACCCACCACCATTACTATCTCTCCGGATCTCTTCTCAGTTCAAGACCCACCACCGTTCCGTCCACCGTCGACAGTTCCGGCTTATTCACCGCAGTCTACCACCGCGGCTCAGACCGTATAGGCGGGCAAGGAGAAACCGTAGACTTGGAGGACGGATAGGCGGAATCGCCGTACCTGAAGTCTTCAGTCCTTACTACCCGCCGTGCAATTGCAAAAAAACTGGAGTTTTTCTCCACTTTAAGATGTTGGGTGATGGTTGCCGGAGCGTTGCTAGAGTTGGGTGATGGTTGTGACATCGTGTTGAGCCGGCAGAAGAATGATGAAGACGACGTTGAGATTGAGGACGTTGGGTGTCGGTGACCGGCGATCTTCATATTAGTTTGTTACAAGGAGAGAATGAATAGACAACGTGTGAGATGTTTTTTTTTTTTTAATTTATGTTGAGGATGTTGATGCCAAATTGAATTAATTTTTTGTCTATTGGTCGGCCACATATATTTTGCCCAAGGGGTGCGACTTGGGTTGGGAACCCGAACCCAACTCGAGTTCAGTCCGATTTTTCGCGAGTTTGGTCAATTATTTTTACAATTAGAATTGGGTTTGGGTTAAAAAATCTTAACCCGAATTGAATTATGGTTAGGTTTGGTTTGAAGTAATGTTGTAGACTGTCGCTGCAGAGGGGCTGAAAATATCATTATTATTCTTCTCTCTTTCCATGTCTATTTCCTTGTAGGCGCAACGTTGAAGATACTTTTGGTAGTTTAACGAATTACAAAGTCTGAACTCTTTAGAGTGCCCATTGTCCAGCTGGAGGTGAACCATGAATGCTTTCTTTTTCCTTCTTCTCTTTTGATTTCTTGGAAGTAATTAAAGCTCTTATCGATAATTTATAACATTTCTAAGATACAAAATTTATGAATTTTCTACTCTTACGGGTTCCATGCAAAACTCATGAATGGTTGTGCTTTGAAGTGTTTCTTGCAAAGGTTGTGCTTTGAAGTGTTTCTTGCAAAGGTTGTGCTCTCTTGGTGCTTTCATTCTGTCCTCTTTTTTTTGTGTGTGACTTTATAATGATTGTCTTATTATATTTGTTGCTGGAGACATAATCTTTTGGATAGAGACGTATTGATACTCTATTTTAAGATGATCCTTCGTCATTGGTGGGGCCCTGGGGGTGGTAGTTACATTTTTCTATTTTGATCACGGAATAATCATGGAATACGAAGAGCACTATCTTCCTTGGTAATCGTGTTCTTCTTGTCTAAGTTTCTTCATCGGTTCTTTTGCTGAAGAGGTTTGACTTCTTCCTTTTCAACCTTGGCGATTTGAAATGAA